TTGCGCATCCCTCGGTCGGAGCTCCGTCCCATGAGCTCTCCCTTCCACGGTGTGATCCTAGGGACGCAGGCATACCCACTCGGGCAGGTCGACTTGCCCGTCACGTTTGGCAACCGATCCAACTTCCACTCGGAGGTCCTGACCTTCGAGGTGGTGGACTTTCTGGGGTCCTATCATGCCTTCTTGGGGCGGCCATGCTACGCCAAGTTCATGGCGATCCCTAACTATACCTACCTCAAGCTAAAGATGTTGGCACCGTGGGTGGCACCTTCTCACACGCCTACACGTGCGACCTCGAGCATTACGAGCTCGCCACTACCGTCATCAACTCCACCGAGCTCCCGGAGCTTAGGAATTCGGCGACTCTAGCAGTCCCCGACTGCAACGGGCCGACCTCCTTAAGTGCCTTCCATTTGACCGAGGAAACCAAGGCGGTGGAGATCGACCCCACCGACCTGACCAAGACGGTTCGGATCGGGACCAAGCTCCTGGCCAAATAGGAGAGCGAGCTTGCCGACTTCCTACGCGCAAATCAGGATGTCTTCGCATGGATGCCTTCTAACATATCGGGCATACCGAGGGAGGTCACCGAGCACGCACTACGCGTCGTCCCGGGCTCAAAGCCCGCCAATCAACGCCTGCATCGCTTTGATGACGAGAGGCGCAGGGCCATAGACGAAGAGATCGCCAAACTTCTGACAAGCGGATTCATCAAAGAGTTATACCACTCCGACTGGCTAGCCAACTCTGTTCTTGTGAAAAAGAAGAATGGGAAATAGAGAATGTGTGTTGATTATACTGGCCTCAACAAGGCGTGCCCAAATGACCATTTTCCTTTGCCACGCATAGATCAGATAGTCGACTCCACCTCAGGATGCGAAATCCTCTCCTTTCTGGATGCCTACTCAGGCTACGACTAGATCACGATGAAAGAGTCCAACCAGGTCGCGACCTCATTCATCACACCGAATGGTTCGTACTGTTACGTAACCATCCCTTTCGGTCTGAAGAATGCGGGCGCCACCTACCAACGGTGCATGCAGCGATGCTTCGCCGACCAAATTGACCCGCCCGACCAACCTGACCAAGTCAAGCAGCCAAAACCGACAATCGCCATCTATGTAGATGACATAGTGGTGAAAACGGCTCAAGTTAGCGACTTGATCGCAAACTTGGCTGCCACATTCGCGAACCTCCGAAGGTTCAGCGTCAAATTGAATCCCGAAAAATGTGTTTTTGGGGTTCCGAAGGGGAAGCTGCTTGGATACATCGTATCTGAGCGCGGCATCGCAGCCAACCACAAAAAAATCACGGCCATCTCCAATATGGGCCCCATACGCAACGTCAAGGGCGTGCAGAGGCTCACCGGTTGCTTGGCCGCTCTGAGCCGGTTCACGGGCCCCAACATGGGCCCCAACATAGCTTCTCTCACTGGAGGGCCTTTGCTGCCGATGATGGGTGTCGTGTGCACTGGCGTTTCCACGTTCCCTGCTAGGGCACCAACTAAGTTGGGGGGCAACAATAGCGATAGAGGATCACGTTTGTCATCGGTAGGAGTCGATTCATTTGCAGGATTGGGCCCTTTTGCTATACTAAAAGCCCACAAAATATAGGTGTTTCCTACAACAACATATTACAACGACACTAGAAATTATAGCAAACAAACACACCTGTGGCAATAGCAACATACTATTGCATCGCTTTAGATATTTAGTTGCAATAAACAACTAACTATTGCAATGGTCGTGAGAAATATTACAACCAAACAAAACTGTGGCAATAGCAACATACTATTGCATCGCCTTAGAAATTTAGTTGCAATACATGGTCTACCTATTGCAATGGTCGTAATAAATATTGCAACCAAACAAAACTGTGGCAATAGCAACAAACTATTGCATCGCCTTAGAAATTTAGTTGCAATACACGGTCTACCTATTGCAATGGTCGTGAGAAATATTACAACCCAACAACACCGTGGCAATAATTTCAAGCAATAGCAACACTGTTATACTTGGTTGCAAGATCACTAGACAGTTGCAACGCCAATCAATACTAATGCAACTAAATGTCATCATAGCAATATTATTAACCAATAGCAACACTTTTCAAAAAAGGGTTGCTATAGGTGTCACCTCTTGCAATGCCGAACGTAAAAATTACAATGCACTATTTTTGTGGCAACACAGCCCCCCTATTGCCACCTTTTTGGACGAATATTACAAAACACACCCCTATTACAACACAATTTGTGGTGATGCAAATGGCGTCAAGTGGCAATAAGGTCGAAATCTTGTAGTGTAACCTATGTTCTCATTTTGGTGAGTCCCCAAATGATGATTCGCATGCTAACTAGCGTGAAAAGGTAGACCCACAACTTGGAGATTATGAGTGTTGATGGATCAAATCTCATATTCAAGGGCTTTAGGCATGAGAATCTCTATTTAGTTGATTTTGGTGCTAGTGAAGGTAAACTCTCAACATGTATCCTCCCCAAATCAAATGGCATAGAAGATTGGCACACATAGGCATGAAGCAATTGGATAGGCTTATCAAGCATGATCTAGTCAATAGTCTCAAGAATGTCACATTCAAGAAGGATAGATTGTGTAGGTTCATGTCAAGATGGTAAGCAATTCAAGTGGCCAATACACATCTAAACAAGAGTATGATGAGTACTAGTAGGCCATTGGAGCTATTGCATATGGATTTATTTGGACCTATAAAATACTCGGGGAAACAAGTATGGTTTTGTGATAGTTGATGACTTGTCAAGGTTCACATGCGTATTCTTTTTAAATGACTAGAGTGAAGTCTCAAACATGAAGGGCAGGTCTGGTGCAAGCGGTAGAGTCTTACCGCCTGTGACCGGAAGGTCCTGGGTTCGAGTCGCGGTCTCCTCGCATTGCACAGACGAGGGTAAGACTAGCCACTGACACCTTTCCCCAGACCCCGCACAGAGCGGGGGCTCTCTGCACTGGGTACGCCCAGAGTGAAGTCTCAAACATCTTCAAGTCTTTCATCAGGAGAAGTGAGAATGATTTTGAATTGAAGATCAAGAAAGTGAGGAGTGACAATGGAAGTGGGTTTATTTAATATCTAGTAAGCATGTTAGTTGAAAAAACTCATTGGAACCTTTGTATAAGAAAAGTTTGCTGAGAGAGGCAAAGGTGTCATGATCTGGAATTTCCCAAAGATGTATAGGAATGCCCTTCTCCTTTTTACACCTAGAATGTTACCAAGCTGATGTAAACATGAATTTCTAGAACCCTAGAATATTGTGCTTGGATTTTTGAAGGACCGGTTCACATTTGATTTTGTGATTGGATGACCTTCTCCTTTTTACATTCTCCTTTCATGTTGCACTATTGGTGGTTCATAGAATGATGAAGAGATTTATTATTAGAGATTTTCTATATGTTTATTCAACATTATAGGAACTTATTGATTAGGATAAAATACAATGCCAGATTTTCTTGAACTAGACTATTCAAGATCTTGGTTTGATTCCTTTGTGTCCATAAAACTTGATGACAACCAAATCTACAATTTGTGTTTTAAGTCTCTTAAGGCCAACCTATTCTAACACGCAAAATTGAGCCATTTGATCTAGCAGGTCATAATGGCACTCCAAGACTTTCCTTGGAAGAAAGGGAAATGGATCTGATGGGATCCCATTAATTAAAAACAAATAATGTCTCTAATAAATGTATGGGCCAAAGCCCAAAAGTAATTGATACGTGTTGTTCTCCTTGTATAATACATGAATTATTCTCTTGGTTTACATGAACAACATTGATATTTCTTAGGATCCACACTATAGCTTGGAAGCAGCAAACTTAACTCCATCACATAGTGGAGTGGCTTTTAATAATCCATCAATCAATATTCACATTTAATAGTTAGTAAGCATGTTAGTTGAAAAAACTCAAATTGGAACCTTTATATGAGAAAAAGTTGCTGAGGGTGCCAAAAGTGTCATGATCTAGAATTTCACAAAGATATAAAGAGATACCGTTCTCCTTTTTAGACCTACAATGTTACAAAGATGTAAAATGTGAATTTGTAGAACTCTAGAATGTTGTGATTGGATTTTTGAAGGACAAGTACCTACTAATTATAATCCTTTAATGTTGCATATCTGGTGGTTGGTAGATTGATGAAGAGATTTATATTATAGAGATATGTTGTATGCATATTCGACATTTTAGAAAGTTATTAATTAGGATACAATAAGGGCAGTCCCAATAAAAGAAACTAGTAGTTTCTATAACATAGGATACCGCACCAAAAAAGTACTGCTTTCCAACCCATGGTTTCTATGAGTAATAATTATTTTTCTTCTCTCTCCCAACTCTATCTTCTTCCTCCAATGGGAGTGCGGCACGAGCCCCCTAGAAACTGGTGGTTTCTCCCCAATGGCGATTTTATGGTTTCTTGGTGCATTGGGTCAAGAGAAGACCTGATTTTTCATGAGGAAACCATTTCTAGGATTTTTGCTCTCTTTCTTCATTAATTACGTTGTCATGTCAGCGTTTTGCCTACGTGGCAAGTCATTTAATGAGTATAGAAACCATCATCAATACACCATTGGAACTGCCCTAAAATGCTATTTTTTCTTGAAAATAATACTATTTAATGCGAGATCTTGATTTGATTTGCTTGTGTCCATAAAACATGATGACAGCCAAATATACCATTTTTGTTTAATGTCTCTCAAAGCCAACCTATTCTGATGTGCAAACATTGACCCATTTGATCTAGTAGGTCCTTATGGGCACTCCAAGACTTTCCTTCGAAGAAATGGAAATGGACCTGATAGGATCCCACTAATAAAAAAACAAATAATGTGACTAATAAATGTAATGGGCCAAAGCCCAAAACTAATGGGCTCAATAATATAAATAGAACCTTTCAGGATGGATACCATTAATATATAAATATATGCTTACTAGTTTAGAGGAGGAAACCCTAGATTGCAACCAAAGTCCTCAACTATAATGGCGGCGGAGCATCCAAAGGAAAATAGCGATGCGAGCTATCCCTTCCTCCTTCCTTTGGAAAGTATTGATGATGAAGAAATCCATAGCGATACCTTCTACAAGAAACAAAAGATTCGATCCGAGAGTGGTATGAAATCAAATCCCTTCTCAATCTTTATTTCATCTGTCCCCACCTTCTCATTCCTCATTTCATCTACCAAATTCTAATCCTAAATTATTTTTTGGTTCAAACATTTAAGGGGAAACAAGTAGCTGGGACCTCTCTCTTAAGTTTGAGGAATGGTTCTCTTAAGTTAAGGAAATATGACAACTTTCATTGTGGAATCTGCTGGTTAGATCTACCAAAGCGTGAAAAATTTCCAATGAAATGCATTCATCAGTTTTGCAATGATTGTATAGGTACTTATGTTACCACTAGGGTTAAAGAGAATGATGTGCCTATCAAATGCCCTATGTTGGAGAGCAAGTGTAGCTTCTTGGAACTGGATATGTGTCATAATATTGTTACCGAGGATATAATCAAGAAATGGGGCATCTTGCTGGAGGATTCAACATTTCGATTGTCTAACCAGGACAAGTTCAACACTAACAGTTTCCATGGAACCTCTGAAGAGAATGAAATACTACTTATGAACCTTGCTCGTCGTAATAGATGGAAGATTTGCCCAAACTGTAATTTTTGTATTGAAAAGGTTGATGGTTGTCAACTGGTAAAGTGCAGGTATGTCTCATTAGCTTTTCTGCTATAAATATTAACATATCATTTTTTTCTGATTTTTGTTTTAGCAATAGAGCAGTAGTACTTTTCATTCAAATGCATACACTGGTTATTAGTTTTCTGTTGCAGTACTATATATAAAGACCTTAGTATTGTTAGGAAATGAGAAGGTGCACCTGTGACAGATTATGAATTATCTTGAGGACTTACTTGATTGCACTACATTTGATCGAAGATATTGTTGTTCTGACATGGAGTTTCAAAATTTGATACAGTTTCCAACATTATATTGATTGTTCAGGTTCCTTTCAAGAAATAATATTGGAGCATAGATGGGAATATTAAAATAAAAAACAAGACATTTAATAATCTATCGTCTAGTTTACATTGTATAATCTAAGTATAATTATCCTCAAGATAAAGATTCTTTCAGAACTAAAAATGAATGTAAACTATTTAGTGTAGTGTAGTAGATCCTTCAACTCCTATAGTGAACATTTATTTCTAATTAGAGAGGAGGGCTTACCATTCAAGTATCGAAAAAAGGGGGAATGACAGTAGAAGCTTCTATATATGCTATTTGGATATATGCGATAAAAAATGCGAGCTAAGTGTAGTTTCATTGATTAGGTTCCTTGTGGTAGAACTTGTGTACCGTCGACTCTCAATCTCTTGGAGGTGCTTTTAGTGGTAGGGTGTGTGCATGCATTTTTATAGTGTTCAGTGTGCATGCGTGTCGTATGTGAGTTTGTGTATGTACTGTGTATCGCACAAAAAATGAAGCAGAACATTACTCTATTTTTAATTCTACTGAAGATAAGTCATTTGAAAACTAAAATGCCTACAATCATTAATCCATATTCTAATTTTTCTTTGTTTCTATTACCTATTTTTCCTTAAATGTGTCAAGCTTTTGATATTAAATTGTAGGGAAGACATAATAGTTGCCCCCCTTGTAGATAATATGTTAAATATAAAAAGAAATATTTACAAAAGGATAAAAGTGAAGTATGCATGCACCACAAGCACACGAATATGAGTGGAGCTCAGTTAGATTTCAAGGAGTGAATTTACTGGAGGCTTTGGTCTGGGGTAACTAACTCTTGCTAATCTTCCTTTCCAATCAAGTATTAGTGCCTTTTTTGTGGTGGTCAAAAGCACATATTCTTGGATTGACCTGAGCTGATTATTGTGCAAGGATGATTAAATCCCATGGGGACATGTGACTAGATGTCCCACCAGTTATGAATTGAGAGGAATACTGGTACCAAGGATATAATTTTGGTACCACTTCTCTATTTTTGAAGGATAATAAAATACCAATAAAATCATGTTGCATTTACTCCGATCAGTACGAATTGTACATTTGAATTCCATGAGTATACAACTATACATGCTCAAGCAAATACAGGATGTGTGTGGTCATTTTCTTCCATTATTCCCTAATAACTAAAACAAGACATTCTGCATGGGTTCTTGCCTACGCAAATATTTTAATTAGGTACAATAATTTTTGGTGGTCACTTAATATCCTTAAGATTAAGCTGAAAAATAGTTCATAGCATCATTTGTGTACCAAATTTTGTAACTTGTTTTCAATATGACTTGAATATAGAATTCATTGGAGCAGACTATTCCAATTTCCAAGAGTAAGTCTACATACCACAACCCTATACATCAATTGAATACTTTCCAAATCATTAAGGAGAGCAATCTAGCTCAAGAGGGTCTCCTGTCTTCCCACTGGGTTGCACGCTCATGTGCTTTCCATGACATGTCCATGTACCTCACCATAAATTTTTAAATATGTAATCCAATATGGATTGAGTCAAACAAGTTTAGATTTTCATGTAGCAATCCATTGAGGAGGAAAATAGTAACGGTTTGCCCATTACTCTTTTGTGCTCATTTTGTTCTTTTTTGTTACTCCACATATACATTTTAACTTTGGATTTGAAACTACAAAATGAGGTGGTTGCATATCATGCAACAACAACAAAATTGGATGGAATTTTCCAAGTTTGAGGTGCTTCATGAGCAGGACGGCGTGACTTTTAAGGGGCACCAGGGATCTTCTCAGATCAGCTACTTCAAAAAAACTATCACGGCACGAAAACTTGTATTATTTGACCAAAAAGTTCTGATTGAGTGCAAAAGAAACTAATTTATGGAAGCATATTTTAAAATACATTAGCACCAAACACCTTTGCAAAAATAACAATGCCTTACTGGTTTGACCTTGGAAGTGATCTAGTCCCTTAAATATATATCGGCCATCCTTACAATATCTTGCAAAATATCAATAATTTTTTGCCATTATCGATTAGAAATTGGTTGACTAGACGAGGAATTCTGATAGACGTAAACATTTCATGGCTCGTGCACATTAGTTCTTGGCTTTCAACTCTAATTAATTGACCATTACAAACTCTTTATCGCTCCACCATGTACACGTACACAACACCTACGTACTGCGAATGAGCATAGCCACCTTATTTCTTACTTGTAAAAAAAACCCCTCTCTGTATAGTCTGCAGAGGTTGTGCCTTCTTTATTTATCAACGTGTTCTTTCACCGTAACTGTTTTAGTGATGCCATGATGTATATTCATTGAAACAATAAAAAATCTTAAATCTATATATGCCCATGTTTCACCTGCTGACAGCTGTTCCTCAAAAATGTGCTAAAACTTAATGGGATGGATCAACCTTGCAGCTTAAATTACTAGCCAACAGATTTGCATTTTTGAAGTTGAACACTTGGTGAAGATTTTTTACTGCCATTCACCTTCTTACACCTGAGCTGAGAAAAAGAAAAATGATCGAGGCATGAAGCAATTAGTTCCTGGGTTCTAATTTGCATCATAACAAAGTGTGAAGTATTAGGGTGAACCGTTATTTGAACTTTTGTGTCACTACTTGGTCAATAGAATTAAGTTGTCAACAAAATTATTGGAAAATATGACTTGGTAAAGAGTAAGTTCACCCAGAAAATTGGACGCCGGGTCATCTCTGCAGTTCAGGGTTGATTGTGAATCTTTTCAAACCAAATATATCTTTGACACTATTGTTAATCTGTTAAAAGAAGTATTTTGACTAGATAACTTTTTCTACCATTTATTTCGTCACTACTGGAAACGCGTGCTTTGCCGAGGGCCTGAGGCTTTGTCGAGGGCGAAATCTCGGGCACTCGGCAAAGACATTTGGAGAAAATAGGAAGCTTTTAGTAGGGCATAGCAAATCAAATCTTTGCCGAGGGCGGCCCTCGGCAAAGATGCCCTCAACAAATTAGGGCTCTATTCATTCCCGTCAAGCTTGCCGAGGGCCACCCGTTAGGCCCCTCGGCAAGGTTTTTTTTTCCGAAACCGGGTTATTGGCAATATTTTTTTAAGTCTTTTGCCGAGGGTACGACCATCGGCAAAGACACCCTCGTTAATCAAAATATCAAAAAGATGCCCTCACAAATTAGGCCCGTTGGGTCACGGCGGCCATTCCTCCGTCAAGCTTTGCCGAGGGCCACCCATTAGGCCCTCGGCAAACGTGAAACCAGTTATTGCAATAAAGTCTTTGCGAGGGCCCTAGACCAGCCCTCGGCAAAGATTTTTTAAAAAGTTTTTCGGCCAAATTTTTTTTAAATCTCTCCTTTACAAATTTGGAGGCTAGGTCGACGGGATGCCCTCAAAAGATTTTTTACTTTTTTAAAAAATTCTTTTGAAGAGGGCCACAGGTTGCCCTGCAATTTTTTTTTTTTTTTTTATCGATTTTTTTGTGGTGCTACAATACATTGTTTTGAACTCAATTTTAAAATTTAGGCCAATTTTGATTTTGTTTTGTATATTTCCTTAATTTATTTCGATTCTTTGATTTTTTTCGAATATGTGAAATTTGAACTGCAGGTGCATGGAATATTGCAATGTAGTGTTTCGAAAAATGTTATTCATGTTAATTGGTGCATGTTGAGTCCCTATCCACGAACTCGCATCAAATTTTCACGCATCTTGTTCAAGCGTAACATGACGACCGACTTGCTTGGGAAAAGTGTTTTAAAATTATATAAAATCCATACGAAGTTCGAAAATCACGAAACTTGGCGAGATGTCATGTTATCGCATGTGTAGGTTGTGGTAAAAAATTGAGAAGGCTTCGAGCGAGTTGCAACATCGGATGCCTGGAACCCAGACATCTCCACATGTGATCACATGTGATCACAACTCGCTCGATGTGCACCAACCAAGACAAAGAGGATCTTAAGGGTTGGGCTATTGTGCACCGTGTATTCCACATGGTAAACTACACGCCTTAAACGATGATGATTACAACTTCAGCGCAAACACATATGATGGTCGGTTCTATCAAGAAGATGGGCTACCAGAACGCGTTTGAGATAGTCTTACCGAAGCAATCGAAATGGAAGTAGATGCGAAAGCGGTTGATGACGAGATCGATGGAGATGTGGTGGTAAATGCCAAGGACATAGGAATGCTTGGCGATTACTTCCGAGCAATGACGACGATGACAACATAGAACCCCGGATAGTGTTGCCCATTTGGATAAGGTGATGATGAGACCTATGATCCCAATCATGAAGATTATTCCTAATACATGTAATACTATGGTTTTTTAATTTGTGTTTTGTTTATATATTTTGAATCTATTTCTAACATATGTACTAATTAGTCTTGTTCATTCTTTGTGATTGTAGGTGATTGGACAAAGATAAGACAATGGGAGAGACCGCCCTCTCCTTCGAGGTGAGAGGGTCGTGCGTCCGATGTAGCGTCCGCAGGAGGTGACGAGAGGAGGACCCGGGCAGCCGCCGCAGGAGGCGGCGGCGGTCTCCTCCTCGACACGTGATGAGGTCTTTGGAGGAGGAGCACATCCTAGCCTCGTCCTCATTGGAGGACGAGAGGGGTCAGCAGACAGGCGAGGGAGACGAGGTAGAGGCGAGGGGAGGCGAGGCGCCGAGGGCGAGGAGAGGGTACCGCTACCGGACTCTCTCTGAGCAAGGTGTTGAGCCTCCTCGGTTATTATCTTGCCTTTTGATTGGCCTATGGCAAAGAGGTAAGTAACTATGGATGTTATCACAACTACTTCATAAGATATGTTGCTCGATAAATTTTCTTAATCACTTGTGCAGGGAACTGGTTCTTTTGTCGGGTACTCAATATGTATGAGCATCCTTGGTGTTTTAAAAGAAATGGTACCCGGCATTGTGCAACTTCATCAAGAGCTTGTGGGAGCCGCCTCCAACTAGGACAGTCTGCGCTGGTCATGGATGACACTTACCGCAACAAGCGAGGAGCTAGTATTGGCGGAGTTT